GAAAAGAAAAGAGTGAAGTTATTAGGGGTTCACATCATTCCAGGCCTATATTAATATCATATTCACAAGAAGAAGTTTTTGGTGGCTGTAATTTTTCCTCACATTCATACAGCCGTCAAGAAACCACTACAAAATCCTTAGTCCCCCTTCTGAATGAAAATACATTCAAAGGTAAAGCCAAAGCTAATATGTGGCTTCAGCAGTCTGAGCAGGTCTGCAATGATTATTTTCATTTTGATTCATTTACTAAATTATTTACTTGATTGTTGGGGAAATAAAATGGTGAAAAGAGCTGTGCAAGAGTTCAGCCCTTGCTTTGTTGTACCAACAGTAAAACAAACAAAATATATAGGTTATTTTGACATACAACTGTAAAGGCAGCAAATCCTCATATTGAAAAAGCTGTAGATGGAAAATATTCGGCATTTTCATATAAAAAAAAAATACTCAAACTGTTTACAGCTGCAATGATTAGTCAATTGATAGATTAGAAAGTGATATTTTAAATCATTCAGGAAAAACTATTAATTGTGAGCAATTTTGAAGTATTTTTGTAACTCTGTGTTGTCATTTTGAGTCAATTTCTGGTAGTTTTATGTGTAGCCTTTTACCTAAGTTCTGCGGTAGGCTTGTTCAGTAATCCATACTTGCATGTGAGAATATTGTCAAAAACAGATTAGAAAAATATGGTGCTATTTAAGTAGAAATACAGCCCCAGGGTTAGTTCAATTAGTTAAGTAGAGAGTTCAGTGTTTTATGTGAAGTGGAATATTATGACAGGTGTCATAAAATGATGTTAATTATGTGGGAGCTCTCTAACATGCAAGTTGATATGATGAGGGGCTGGAAAAGTAATGCACTCAGCTCAAGTAGTCGCACAGCATGTGCTGCTCATAGCAACTGAAAAACATGAATCTATAGCAAATGTGCCTCTTATTCCAACCCCTTACCCGATATTAATTATACATATAAAAGAAACAGAGTGAGAGCTGTTCTGACAGTTTCTAAGGAACTGGTCAAGAAGGAACTGGATAAAGTCTAACTAACCTTCAAAAAACATATAGACTTAACACAAGAAAGATAACAGCCTATAATCCACTGTGATATTTTACCTGTAAAATATAAATAAGCACATTTATTTATAATAAAATACAATTTAAGTGTTTTGTCATGTAATCGTTTTCATGTTATGCTACTTCACATTTTAGAAGGAACTATTGTAGCCTACTTTTGCACCATTTCATTTATGTGACAGCTCTAAAATGTCACTTTGCAAATTGTACTTTTTTCAGAGCTGTTACTCAACAATAAAATATTTAAACTAACGCCAGCCAATAAACTATGTCACACTATATTTTAATAATTTTTAACCTAGGATATAGGCTAATTATTATTAGTTTTTGACATTTGTGTATTGTGCCATTACTACTTTTACACTTGTGTAAAAGCAGACGGCAATAGTCTAACTTCTTACTAGTCTAAAACGGGCGGTTTCACGTGGTCCTGAGAAATTTCACTTGCCACCAGGAAAAGTCAGGTCAAAACCTTTCTGACACTTGACCGAGTCTTACAACATTTGACTGTGGCTAAAACCTGGTAAAAATGTCGTCTTACCTCAGAGTAACATTCAAAGACAACTATGGTGACATTTCTAAAATTAAAATCGGGCGTGAGAAGTTCAAACCCCGAACCCACGAGCTCCAGTCCTCGGGGCTGACCACGTCATCAAATCATCAATTAGTTAGTGCCACCAATGGGCGACGTGGGCAGGTGAGTTACAGTTGACCTGCTGCTTGGCCCGCCAACTTTCAGCGCAGTAACAGGAAGTTCAATGCAAATGTCGGTGTCATTTAGACCAGATCAACTTACTTTTAACATCGAGTGTTCCAGTGAGTCCATGTGTTTGTCCAGAGGTGTTGCCGCTCCTGTTTTGGCGGTATTATTAACGACCATTACACTATCTGACAAAAAGAACTACTCAACAAAACCGGTCGGCTTGGACAGATGTCCCAGCTGTACTCTTGAAAACAGATAAAGCGCATTTTTACACATTTGCCGGTTCATCTTAACGAATTAAAGACTGATAGAAACGACGCGCAGCTGTACTGGCAGCGCCAATCTTCAAGTTTGAGACGGGAGCTTGTGCGGAAGAGGGTGGTGAAGCTGTTTTCCTCCAGTTCAGAGGACGATGTGGAGGATTTGATTTCTCGGATGTTATAGCCTTCAGCATCAGAGCCTCAGCCTCCTCATCAGTGCCCTCCTTCCCACACTGGCTGAGAGCTGTGCCATGCGCCCTCATCCAACACCAACACCTCTGCCTTATCATAGCAGAAAGAAGAGAATGAATAACAGCTTTAAAGCTTAAAACCTCCCTCAAAACAACGTGTAGTTATCAAATCTTAAACTGGACACATGGGTTAAAATCTGGACCACTTAATTTATCCATTTTAGCATTGTATGTGCCTTAATTGTTTCAAGAAAGTGGTTAACTGCAGTTTTATTCCATTATGTAACATTTTACAGCTATTTTTGTTTGTTTGTTTGTTTGTTTTGTTGCCAAAGCATAGCCTATACCCCTGAACCCAAATGAGTTTCAGTAACAATAATCTGTACTGGGTGAAAAGTACATTTAACACTGACTAACCTTAACACTGTAGCCTACAGGGTTTTTGAGGCCAGTACTAATAGCCTATTGATGTATGAGAGTTTTCTTTTCACAATACTTCACTTTAACATTTGCCACCAAGAAATGCCAAGAAAATCCATGTACAGTCTGATTCCCAGCAGAACCAAAGGTGACATTTTCAGACATCTAGTTTTGTCTGACCAACAGCCATCAACACAAGGATTGCTACTGATAATCATATAAAACAGAGAAGGGCAGCGAATCTTCACAGCTCTAGGTTTAAGTGAGACATTTGCTAAGACAATGTATTAGCTGTTTATATATTCAGGTGAGTCAGGTAAAGGACAAACACTGCATCTACTTAGTCATTCATTCTCTGTGTGACTTGAATTTTTACAGCAGTCCTGTACAGTCCTGCATGTGGCTGGTCCAGTCAAATGAGACCATTCAAGCGACACACTGCTAAAGAAGTGAAAGAAATAAGACTAATCTTTACTAGATATAGATCTGAAGTGTTGTTCATTATTGCCCTCTAGTGGTTTCATGTGCTTTTGTATTTTAAAGGCGAAATTCACTGATTTTATGTGTCATAAAATACTGAGCATGTTTTCCATCCATTATCTATAGGGCTTATCCTAACAAGTGTCATAGGGTGCTGGAATTATTTATACCTTGTGATTTACAGGTACATCAATATTATGATTTTATCTTATATTTGTCAGTATAAATAGAACAGTGTTTTCACAAGCCTAATATTTTAAGTGATTATTACAAAAGGAAATCATGTGTTTTTATAGGCATTTGTGAAATTTTTCTCATATTTTAGCTGAGTTTGAAGTAGTGACAGTTTCAAAAGTGGTAAACACAAACATGAAAATGAAAATTTCACTACTGTTAATTATAATGTAGTTTTGTGTGACAACAAAAGCAGGTGCAAAGGGTTATTTTCAGCCAGATTCTGTCAAATCAAGGGGAAAACACTTTTATATTTCCTGTTTTGTGTCTTTCTCTCTTAGCTTTTCCCACTGTTTCTGTGTGCTGTGCTGCCCTGATGACCCTGGAGATGAACTCTTGTTTTGACAGATCTCTGCTGAGCACCAGCATACCCCAGTTAAACAGTCTTTCCTTCCTCCATCCTGGACACAGTTGCCTTGAAAAAATGCACACATACCAAAAACCCCTCTTTGATGCAAAAGATCAGATTTACACACAAAACCTTCCTGTAAATTCCATAGGTGTTGGCATTTTCAGCATAACAAGAATTGCTAAAATAAGAGAAAATGCTATGGATTTCCGGCTATTGTGTGAACAATACACGGGAAGTCACAATGAATGGTGTCAGCTTTTTCTACTCTGATAGCAAATAATCCCGTGACACTGTCTATACAACTGCCTTTGCACTTTGATAGTAAGTTTAGAAAGATAATTGAACATACAGTAATCACAACACAAACTGTGCAATGAAACTAATCCCCAGCACAAACAAAGCAAGTGCTTGACATCTGTTTCCTCAGATTTAACAAAAATATGTTGATGCTGAGAACATTGGAATTTAATCACTGTAAACTGATTAAAGAGAGAGGATAGAATCCTCACCAACTCATCTTTTCATTATTGTAAATCCAGTTGTATGTACAAAAAAATGATCATAATCTGTTCTTCTTCCACCTCCTTCTGCAGGCCCACAGTAAAGAGTGTGTTTTTGCTGTGTGGGCAGATTGATGCACAGTTTTACAGCAATCATTAGTCATCCAGGTTGGTGGATGAGGAGAACAAGTGGCTCAGGTGGGTGGAAGTGCCCTGATATTGGATCACAGAGAGGTCTCAAAAACAAACAGCAATGCCTCTGAGATGAGAAGCAGAAAGAAAGCAGCATCTCTGAAAACAGGGCTTCAGAAATAAATGCATTTTAGAGCTAAGTCTAAAAGTCTAAGCCAATAAGCTTTTCCAGGTTGGTCTATTATAGGTCTGTAATTTCCTAATAATTTCTCTCCTAGGTTTCCTGGCAGGCACTAATGTAAATAATTTAATGCTGTACTTGTTAAGAATATATAAGTTTCCTTGAAATAAAAGGGTACATCGACTTTGAAAGGAGGCTAGCCGTCCTAATGCCAGGCACAGGTTGTGAGAGGCGGCGAGGTTGCTTAGAGCGCAAAGGTGATGGTGAGCACAACACACCCTTGTATGGAACAGAGGAAGCAAACAATACTGAGGGGGACTAATCAAAGTATGTGCTTGTCTGTGTGAAAGTGTATGTGTGTGTGAGTGAGTCTGTGTTTCAAGGGTAGAGCGGGGGCCACATGACCAAAACTGGGATTAGGACAGTGGCAAAAAATATATACAAACAAAATAAGTAATTTACAACACTTTATTTTGCTGGTGAGAAATGAGTTCGAAATCAAATAATTTGATTGTCTGAGGCAACAAGAGTATTTTATTGATTAACAGAAAGCACAGTTGTGTTGTTCATGCTCTCTAAGGTAAGGTAATAAGAGACATGTAGGGTCCAGATAGAGCTACCCATAATACCTAATGTACAAAAATAAATCATCATGTATAAAAAAAGATTCATACACTTATAACATATTTATAATCCAGTATTAAGACTATAACATCATCAAACAGTCAATTGTTGACCAAAGATGACTTGATTAAACGTCCCAGTTGCTCACGCTAACAGCTGCAAGTGTGAAGAATTGTGCACGGAAGATAATAATGAACTAGACGATGAAAATTTAAAACACTAAAAATCAGTAGATACTGTCTAAGTACACTTGAACAGACATATGCACGTGCATGTTTAGAATTTCAGTTGATGTTCAAAGAGTGCGAGGAGCAGAAGGCAGGCCCAGCCCATCAACAGGCCAAGGTTCTGCAGGAAAAACATGAGACATGGTCTGTCGGTCTTCACTCGACTCATCTCTGGAAGCTGAAAAGGAGAAAGAAAAGAGGAGTGAAAACAAAGCCCTCAGCAGTTTGACTAAAATACCTGGCAAGAAATGACAAGTAAAAAGACCAAAACCAATAATGTGTTAGTCTGACACTCAGATTTGTTCACCAGCCTCCAGTGAGGCTGCCTTACCATTTCTACCAGTGACAAGTAGAGGAAAATGCCAGCAGTGACAGCAAAGATCCACTGTTGAACTTCTGTCTCTGAGGAAACAAACAGGCCAATGTAGAGCCCCATGAAGGCTGTCAGAGCACTGAGGAAGTTCATTAGCACAGCGGTCCTCACTGAGAGTCCAGAGCTGAGCAACACTGCAAAGTCCCCTTTGAGACAAAAACCAGAAAAGATAAGTCAGTCAGTCATGAGTTTCCCAGTCTTAGCCAAAAATCAAACACTCACCCATCTCATGTGGGATCTCATGACACAGGATAGCTAGGGTGGTCGCCATGCCAGCCTCAGTTGAAGAGGAGAAGGCTGCCCCAACAACCAAGCCATCTGCAAAGTTATGAAGGCTGTCTCCCACGATTACCATTACAGCCAGCAGAGGAACCCCTTGTCCTGGGAATACAAAGAGAGTCTGTGCCGTTAAAGCTCATCCTCAGACTGTGCTAATTGCTCTGTCATGCCAGGCGACTAATTACAAGGTACATCACATTCATTTGTGTTGTGCAGCTCAAACTGAAGGAGCTTACTCTGATGTGAGGGGCCTCTTTTGGCTACGTGCTCAGGAGATATTTCTGTACACTCCAAGTCATCAACTGGTCCCTGCAGCATAAAGATAAGTATTTACAGCACAAAGTTTGGAGGTTTCTTAAGATCCAACATGAGCGTGAAGCATTAATGAAGCATACCCAGTGATTCAGGACTTTAAAAAATTAACTCAGCGAATTCATATTGTTCTACAGTTTATCAGCTCAGTGATTGTTTGTTAGGATGGGGGTGTGATTAGATTTGGGCCAATGTGCCCTCTAGCACCACAGTACTGTGGAGGAATAGTGTGGGAGTGAATGAAACATAATACCTTCAAAAACTGCCCAGTGCTACAGCACAGCGAACAAGACATTTAATCAGTGCATGGATTAGTCTCTACAAGAGCTGCATTGTTTTCAGTATGCAGTGGCTAGAAAAAGTTTAATCCTTGAAATTAATAACCTCTTTTAGCAGCAATAACCTCAAACAAGCATTTCCAGCTGAACTACACAATGTTCAGGAGGAATTTTGGGCCGTTCTTCTTTATAGAACAGCTTCAGCTCAGACATATTCTAAGGATGTCTGGAGTGAGCAACTGTCTTTAGGTCATTTTACAGAATCTCTGTCAGGTTAAGGTCTTGGATCTGACTGGGCCACTTTCTCTGTTTGAATTCATTCTGTAGTAGATTTTCAATATTTGGGATCTCGTTTGTTTGGGAGCTTCAACTGCTGGACAGCCACCCTGACATTATCCTGTAAGATGCCTTCATAAGCCTTGTAGTGTTCAGTTAATGGTGACAAGTGGTGTTTACATATATCTGGAACATGAAAGGTGGGGCCGATGAAGCGGTACTTGGTCTGTTAAGACTGGGATGGTACATCAGAATAAGAAGGTTGGGAACTGCTGAAGTAAAAACATAACATCTTGTATTAATTTTTGGTTCTTTTTCTTCCTGTTCTAAGCAGTTAATGAAGAGGACTGGTTTATAAAAAAATAAAGATAATAACAAGAATCAGGTTTTTCTGCCAAGAACACATTTAAAAACAAACTCACCAGCTGTATGGTGGAGATGGACTTGCCCCTCTGTGACTCACCATTGCGGCTGAGCTCTAAGGGAAGGTGACTGGAGTGACCCTACAGACAAAAGAAAATCAGCCACAGCCTTGCTCATAACAGACAGTCCCCTTTCCTGTAATTTTAACTGACAAAAGTTACAAAAATGAAATTCTCACATGGCCATAAGAAGGAACAAAAAAGAAGAACATTCTCTCAATAAGGAAAAAGCTATAGATCCCAGCGATCATCCCCACAATCTTCCACAGATACTCCTTTCCTTCAGGGTAATGCTCATCGTCATGACTGTGGGTGTCATCATGGAGGCCAAGGATCTTCGAAGGAGACAAAGAATTAAGACATTTACTCCACACATACTCCACATGTATATGGTCTGTTACTATGAATGGTGCAGTGGTCTTATACAAACCCGATTCCAAAAAAGTTGGGACACTGTACAAAATGTGAATAAAAAAATAATGCAATGATGTGGAAGGTTGAAATTCCAGTATTTTATTCAGAATAGAATATAGATAACATATCAAATGTTGAACGTGAGATATTTTGAAATGTCATGCCAAATATTGGCTCATCTTGAATTTCATGGGAGCTACACATTCCTAAAATGTTGGGACAGGTAGCAATAAGAGGCCGGAAAAGTTAAATGTACATATAAGGAACAGCTGGAGGACCAATTTGCATCTTATCAGGTCACTTGGCAACATGATTGGGTATAAAAAGAGCCTCTCAGAGTGGCAGTGTCTCTCAGACGTCAAGATGGGCAGAGGATCACCAATTCCACCAATGCTGCGGCGAAAAATAGTGCAGCAATATCAGAAAGGAGTTTCTCAGAGAAGAATTGCAAAGAGTGTGAAGTTATCATCATCTACAGTGCAAATATCATCCAAAGATTCAGAGAATCTGGAACAATCTCTGTGCGTAAGGGTCAAGGCCGGAAAACCATACTGGATGCC